CTATATTATGTGACTCTGTCAGGGCTTCCAGGAATAGTTTCAGTACTAAATGGACATAGATTATACTCATTTTTGCAAATCAGTGATAGGCAAAACTCCCAAATCAGGCATACAAAGCAATAAATGATTACAACATGAATCTCAATCTCTCTCTCTCTCTCGCTCTCTCGCTCTCTCTTTTTATACGTCTTATTGATTCTGATAAGCTGATACAAGCTATATCCATAAATAAGGTCAAAACAGTAAGAAACAATCAACAAAGTAACAAACTCATGTATGCACTTATATGCCAATATTGATAACATTCCTTTACCCTCCTACAAGAGAGAATGGCCTCAAAACATCCTAAAGCCCAGAAGGGTTGAAACCATACAGTCTCTCCAGCATGTCTCTTCCCTGAGCTGGATAAAAATAGATTACTTTCTATCATGAGCAAAAATAACCCTATACAATTAATGTATTTTAAATGTAAAAAAGGTTTCACTGTTCTTTGTAATAGAAGTTCTTTTAGACTATTCCAGATTTTTCATTGCCAGCTTCAGGTAAAAGTTCTCAGTTAGTTCAGAAGCAAAGACAAGAGCAAAATAACTAAGCAAATCCTGGCTCTCCAATAACTTTTACTACTGCTTCATTTTCTAAATAAATCTGAACTTTCCTTTGAGTAGGCCATTGTGGTTCATTCCTGAAGCTTTTTATCCTTTAACTTTCTTTTGGCTCTCTGTATTTGGTGAAAATAGAGAGTGCATTAAACCTATCTGCATAGCTGCAGTTATTCTGCATGACTGCAAATTGCAGCTCTCCTTATCATGAATCATTGTAAATTATACCAAGTTAAGTATATTTGGAAATATCTCTATTGCAGTGAATCCCAGTGACTGATTTATTGCAACCATTCTTTTCTTGGGTGCTTATCCAATTAGTAGATGAGTGTAATTTAAAGCTATTAAACCAAATGGGAGAATTTTTTGCTCTGCAACTTAAATGAGATGCTGATAGCACTCTGCATTTGCTGCAATTCTTGCATCCAATCCTTCCCTAAGATTTATCTCTGTTTTGTAATATAATATTTTCCTCAGTCTTAGGGCATTTCCTTTAATCTAGTTGTATGAGCTAATCATTTTGCTACATTAAAAAAGATGTTATATATGTAAAACAGTTTGAAACCTGCTTCACAAAACTTCCAAAACCAGCTCTAGGTGAAACCACTACATTGATTACAGGCTTGTTGTTGTTGTTGTTCAGTCGTTAAGTTGTGTCTGACTCTTCGTGACCCCATGAACCAT